TGTGACATATGAGTGAGGGGGTTCTGTACGATAGTTTTTTTTTTGGGCTTAGGTTTGATCAAATTGTTTTAAACTTTTTGAAATGTGCATAAAACTTTTTAAAAAATCAAATATGTTTCAAAAGTTCTTTGTTTTTTGTTGAAATTAGCCGAATTTTGCTCAAAAAATGCATTAATACCAACCCGTGCTTTGTCATTGCATGACTCATTGACACATGGAGGTGGCATGGCTGTGTGAATGCGTGCGCCCGTGGCTGGAACAACAGCAAGCTAATCCATTTTTGCAACCCAACAGCACCAAACACAAAATTCACCTAATTGCAGTCTTGAGGTCTCTCTTTAGCTTGTAGTCATGAAATCTTACGATTCGTTATAATTCAGATTAGCGCAGCTCGTTGTTTTGCGCATAGATCATTGTACCGTAGATTAAGTCCATGTTTATTTCAGTTGACGTCCCTGGATTATTGCTGTCTTGTGTTTAAATCACCGCGCTGTTCTGGCGGTACATGATTAGCGGTGTTATTTTGATGGACTAGCTCGATTTCATATCTTTAGACTGGAGTAATTAATCTCACGTTAATAGATTATCGCGGCACTGAGCGCATCAATGATTAGCGGCTGTTGAGACCGGGATGGCATGCTGCTTAGCGGTTGTTATGTTCAGAGATTATTGCATTGTCATGTTTATGGATTATTTCAGTTCATGTCCCTAGATTAGCGCAATGTCATGTCGTGCAATGTCATGTCCATAGGTTTTGTTTCCTTTCATATCTGTGGATTTGTGCAGTGCCATGCGCATAGGTTTGCTCGGCTTTGCGTCTGTAGACTGTTGTAGCGCTGTGTCCACAGATTTCCGTGCTGTTATGTGCGTAGATTATTGCAGCATCATGTCCGTAGGATTTGGTTCGTTTCATGTCTGTCGATTTGTGCAGTGTTATGTCCATAGGTTTGCTAGCTTAGGCTTGTTGCAGTGTTGTGTTCCTAGATTACTGCCTTGTACGCGCGATGCTGTTGCCGTATCATGCCCAAACATTTTATTGCGTTTCATGCCTATAGATTTCTGCGGTGTCATGTCTGTAGCGTTGCTCGGCTTCACGTCTGTTTATTTGTTGTAGTGTTATGTTCATGGATTACATGCATTTGTCTCCCATCAGTTGCCTCTCCTGCGTTTCCCACTTGTGCCTCGTTCCAGGATCCTTGGACACTGGAAGGTAAACCAAAAGGTAAACAAATAAGCAAACGTCCAAATAAATTTGGACAATTCAAAATATGATTGCGCACATATAGAATCTAGAAAATGCAATGCCAATGAATCATTTTACAACAAAACAACGGCAAACCACAAAAATATTTATAACCCAACAATATCCAAGAATCACATGGCAAAAGTAACATCTCAAAATGGAACAATTGCAAAAGCAGTCAAAACATTTCAACAATCTAAACAAGCAACAAACAAATTCCCACCATGCTGGCGTTTTTTTCGTTTGTTGGCGATATTCACGTCAACAATCTCGGGGGCTAGTTTTCTGGCGTGCTGGTGTTTTTGCACACTAGTATATTGTGCCCATAGATTGTTGCGGCATGCGTCCCTACAGGAATTCTAGCGGTGTTTGGCGCTGACTGCAGACCCATGTTCATGGCTAGTGCAGCGCTAAAATCTATGGAGATACCACCATAAACATGGACATGTTTCTGCAGTCAGGACAAAACATCGCGCTAAATTTCATCTATGCACAATACACAGCACCAATCTATGGACGCAACATCGCACTAATCTAGCGGTTAAAGAACACCAGCACGTGAACTCACCAACACACGAAAACATCAGCCATACACTTAGCCCGGCTCTATCACCGAATAGCACCAACGGCAAATTTTACCCAGTTGCAGTCTCTCTTTTGCTTGCAGTCATGATCTCTATATTCATAGATTATTGGGTTGACTTGTGCATATATCATATATCAGCATGTCACTATGTTCACGCATGCGCGCCATAGATTACTACACCATTATACTCCAAGATACTGGCTCCGATCTCGAGGTGGCAGTGTCCTGGCCGGAAGGTTTACCGTTGCGCCCCCGAAATTTCAAGGATTTGTTTAATAAGGTCATGTTATGTTTATCACCCAACATCTTCTGTGAATGGGACGGCAGTGACGTGCGACTTTCAAATCACCATAATACCGTGTACAACATTGGCCAATTTGGCTGAAGCCGCCCAAAAATATTTCCATAAAGGATCAAGCCGTAGACATTTGGCGCGCTATCGACTCTCTCGCACCATAAACTCCCACGAATGGGACCGGTGTCGAGGCCGAGCCGTTTAGCTGCGCCAGGAAAGCACTGAAAGAAACTACAAAATAATAGCCAAAGGCAAAGACAGAGCCGATAACCCCCGACCAGACTGCCAAGCAGCAGTAAGGGACAAAGACCATCGTGGGGGAGATCTGGGGGTTGAGGGTGTGTTCACTCGACGTTGCCTAACCGTCCGCAACCGTTCGCAACCGTCCCCGCGATTGCTATGGCCGTGCCCATGGTAAGTTCTCCAGGAGGGATTATTATTGGGGGTTTCCATCATCGCGTTGCTTCGTTTCGCGTGGCAGGCGTGGCACTTCGTGACATTCAGACGTGTTTCGTAACGTGTCAAAAATCGTTTTGTGTGGCAGGTGCAATACTTGTGCGACGTTTTCAGAAGATGCGTTGCAGTTTTCGTGGCAGGCGCAGCACTTTGGACGTGTCCATCGTCATTTCGCGTGGCAGGCGCAGCACTTTAGACGCGTCGTGTTGCTTGTTTTTGCGAATCCCATTGGCAGGGCTGCGTCAAGTGGCGACAAGGTGCAGATTCCGTGGCAGGCGTTGCATTTTGTGAGATGTGCTGGAAAAAGCCTTGCACGAAGCATCGATTTTGAGGTAGCAAATCTAGAGGTTCCTACGAAAACTCGTAGGAAAACGTCGATAAACGTCGATTTTGAAGCTACAAAGTGTGAAAATTGGCGGAGATCTCGCACGAAAGCCTCGTTTTGATGCTCCCACGTCTCTCGTCTCGAGTCTCTGGTTTTCCTGCAGCGTCGCCGTATCTGATACGCCGTATCTATGGGGAAAGCTGCAAAAACCTCTCCTTGTCGAAGGTTTTCAAGCAGGTTGTCATGCCGTTTTGCGTGACAGGCATGGCACTTTCTGACACTGGAATGAACCGGGAACTTACTAACCTCTACAAGTAGTAATAGATGTTAGATGGTACTTAGTAAGTAGTTGTATGTCCCTAGTAAACACATACAAGTCCCTAGTAACAAGTAATAACCCATACTATATGCATATACTACTTAGTACTACTTAGCATCGAAACCCCTAAGTAGTAATAAATGCTGTAGTACTTACTACTACTTAGCTAGTACTTAGCACCACATAAGCTAAGTCTTTAGCTAAGTACTTAGGTGGATAGCTAAGTACTTAGCTAAGTTAGCTAAGTACTTAGCTAAGTGTTGCTAAGTGGTTAGCTGATGGTTGATTTTGGTTTTAAAACCAATGTTTTTCTGCTTTTTATTTGAAAAAAAACATGAAAATGCTGTGACCAAAAAAAACAATAAATGTTTTTTGGTTTTTGCATATGCATGCCATGGCTGATAATTTTTGATTAAAAACCTAGTTTACAACAATTTGGCTCCTTTTTGGCCCACCAACCACATGAAAAATGTGATGTCATTTTTCACTATGTTCCCATTGCTTGGGTGTCTGTGCAGGTTCTTGTTCAAAGTTTTTATTCTTGTGACATGCCATTCATTTTCAAGACAGCCAGGCCAAACCTGCATGTTTTTTTCCTTTACATGGCATGTATGCCACTCTGGCATGCCACTCATTTTCAAGACAGCCATGCCAAACCTGCATGTTTTTTCCCCTTTACATGGCATGTATGCGACTGTGACATGCCATTCATTTTCAAGATAACCATGCCAAACTTGCATGTTTTTTTTCTTTACATGGCATGCATGCATGTTCATTACATTGAATGTTTTTTTTTTGCCAAGCCTGTGGGCTACAACTTTTCTGTTGCCATTTTGTTGCCATGCACAGAGCACATGGGGATTCCCAACATACATGAGTCACATGAACATTTATTTCATGCATGATTTTTGCTGACTGGGCTAGCTCAAGCCCCAAGCAGTTGCATGTGTACTGGAAGCTTGGGCTCTCATTGATTTGCTGCTACTTATTTTTATCTATCATGGGCACATCAGGCGCCAATGTCCCTTCAGAAGCATACATGCAGCAATGGAGGGAATCTGAAGATTTCTGCCTTGGTGATCACCCACCTGGAGCCTACTTACAATGTGATGCTGTTGGGTGTACAGGTGGATCCTGGATATGGTGCTGGAGGTTAAATGAAAGAAACCAGAGATGTAGACACTGCAGGCAGTTTTGGTCAAATGTCTTTTTGTCAAGCGGGTATAGATTCTGGGCATGGCAAGCAAGCAGGCAATGACCTGCATACTTGCACATTGTACATATGTGGTTCCTGGGCCCCAAAGAAATCCAAAAACGGTGACACCAACGCATGGATTTTTGAAAAAAAACAGCTGTTTGCATACTGGTTGGGGTGGAGTGCACAAAGGCATGGCACATGAAAAACCATTTGGCAACATGCCACAGGCACCAAGCCTTTGTAGCAGGAATAGTGAATAGTCACTTGATATGTGGTGGACTTGCAGTGTGTGACATATTTTGAACACATACACATTATGCAATGCAGGTATGTTGGCTAAACAAATCCATAGACATGTGTGCCTCCAAGCACAGCCAGGTCATGTGGTGGCATTCATTCTGCATGCATGCATGGAAAGAGAGTCAAGCCAGGTGGCTTAAACATGTACATGTAGTCATTTTCATGGGCACAATGCCATTGCCATGATTTCATGAAACACAATCTCATGGGCACATGGTGGCTTCCAGAATTTTAGATCAAAGTGGAACAACATATAGTGCTGGTATCTTGCTGGCATCATGGTTTCCCAAGAGATCAAGTCAGAGATTGAGAAGGTGTTGAACTCCAAGTGTGGCATGATGGTGCAGTGGAAAGGCATTGAGAAGATCTTGCTGGATGCTGGCTTAGCATATGAGCAGGAGCTAGGGCCAGAGCACTTCCTGGTGCACCCACAAAACAGAGGGGGTACTGGTATCAATGCTTTCAATTGCCATAGTAAGGGTGCTGTGATCTGCAGCACAGGTGCAGACTTGTCCCAACTTGCAGGGTCAGTTGCTTTTGAAACCAACCCCAAGACCAAGCAAAAGCAGGTCAGCTTCACAGCTTCTTTAGCCAAAGAATCAGATGGGCTTTTGGCCAACCCCACAGGCATGGAAAGGTTTCTTACTGTCTCCAAGGGCCATACTTCCCAGTTTTGCAAGGCTATCAAGTTCAATTGCAGGACACCCCAAGCAAGTTTGGCTGGTGGGGATGGTTGTTTGGGAAACCATTTGTTGGCAAGGGATTCAGCTTTGGCTACCATGGTAAACAAAGGGTGGAAGTGGACCATCATTTTGGCATGTGTGGAAGAAACATTTCCCCAGCTGCCCTCTTTGGTGGAGTCTGCTTGTAACTCCAGCAATGCCACCTATGAAGCACAAAATGAAGTTCAGCTGATGTCAGCAATCATTGCCCACAACATCAGCCTCAAGCAGGGTGGCAAAATCGATTTTGTGAAGGTTGCCATTGATCTATGTCATGGAGGGCCTTTGAAATCATATGCTGGTGCTGTTGGCAGGTATGTCCAGCTATTTGCAGGCTGGCTATATATGTATTTAGAGACATGTACATGTTGCATGTGCTATCTCCATTCTACAGATTAAACATGACCATGGTCAAGCCAATGGCTTCAAAGCAGCGTACATACATGACTCAAGCCAGTGGGCTGCCATGTTTGTTTACTGGGCATTTGTTTTACAAAAAGCAACCTTACCATGTCATACATTCTGGCAGGTGGGCTGGATGGGCCTCTTGTGGCCTTCTTGGTCCACATGGGCAAGCAGTATGGTGAGAATGCCACCATTGGGTCAGAGCTCATGTGTGCACTTGTTGATGTCACACTCAGCAAATCCAATCTTTTTGTGATGACAAGAAATGCAGTTCTACTCACAAACATGTGCATTGGCAAGTCCATTGATGGTATTGCCAGATTGGTGACCAAAACCGACTTTTATGGCCTCAAAGCCAAGAAGTATGAAGACACCCTCAAAAATTGTGAGACCTTTTTGGAGTATGCTTGGAACAAGGCTACACAATCCCAGATTGACAGGTCAAAGTCCTATAAAATTTTTGCACTGGCTGCCATGAGGGCCATCCTTTACCTCTTCAAAAAAGAAAAGCATGGCAGAGAAGGGAAAGAATACACATTGGCAGAAATTGAAACCATGTTCAATGATGATTTGACCAAGGGCTCCATTTGCAGCATGTCCACATCTGAACCTTCATCAAGCACAGATGCTTCTCAGCCTGATGAGCAGGCCATTAGCATTCATGAGGGGAAGGATTCGATGTTTCTAGCCAAGAAGGCACTTGGGCTGGAGCCTGGGACCTTGTACACCCTGAAAGACTTTGGAAACAGGGTGTGGCAGTTGCAAAATGTGACACCAACATATGTCACATTAGTGTTCACACCCCTTTTGGAGCCATCCAAGAAAATGACAGTGAAGTACCAGGCCCATGAAACCATGTCCAAGATGAGAGCCTACAAAGGCAAACCTGCCAAGCTGTTTGAGGATGCAGAGGTGACCAGCCTTTTCCCAAACCAAGAGTCAGAAGTTTTGAAGTGTCAAGTGTTCCAAGCATTACTTGAAGTTTACAACTCAGAAGACCTTGATGTGCAAGATATCTATGTTCAGAAGTGTCCAAGGGTTGCAGTGTATGCCAAAAAGAACATCAAGATCAAAGGGGTGAAGCTCATTCCAGTGCCTGAGAAAATTTCCAACCTCGTTGTGCAGGAGCCCAAGGCCACAAAGTATGGCATTTGCAAGTTTCAGGGCACCACCATGTACATCACACCCCCCAAGCCCTTGAAGTTTCCCAAGCCTGAGGACACAAACCAGCAGGTCAGTGGAATGTTTGCCCCCTATTGGGCATGCACTACCAAGGATGGAGATGGTGTCTTAGAGGAAAAGATGCAAAGCTTCAAATCCAGCCTAGGTGACATTGAAATTGGCATCCTTACCAACACCCAAGCCATTGATGGCCATCAAAGCTTGCACATCTATGAGGCCCCAAAGGATGAGAAGCCCGATGGACCTGTGCAAAAGAAAGCTCGAAAGTGAATAGGTTCATGCAGATTCATGCATGCATGCATGCATGGGCAGGCATTGGTTTTAATAGAACATGATTCAGTGTCAAACCTTTGTGTTTCCAAATTTAGCTGGCCAGCCTCATGCATGCAATGGTGCTTGGGCTTGAAGCCATCACATTTCAAGGCAACATGGTGACATGAAAAAATAGACTTGTGATCTTTGGGGTGCCCAGTGTCAAATTCAAAACTCATGTCAAGCCTCTGGCTATGCAAAGTGCCATGCATGTGTTCATATGTTGTGCCATTGCATGTGTTGCCTACATGGCAAAGGTCATGCATGTGTTCATGGGGTGCCATGGCATGTGCTACCTATAGATGCTTTGCCATGAGCCATTCATGCCATCTTGAAACCATGTTATTCCATTCCAAGCCCCAAGGCTGTGCAAAAACATGCATTGTCATGATGCATGGGGTGCATGTAGCTTGTGTCAGAAGTAAAGGGTTACATGTCAAGCTTGCAGCTTCCTTTTCCATGGTGTGGTTCCATGGCATTTCATTGCATTGCCCAAGTCCATTTTTTGTTCCACTGTTTGGCTAGCTGACATGATTTGCAGGCCTTTGCACAGAGTGTATGTTTGGCTTTGACTCAGCAATATTTGTAAAGACTCAAGCTTGTTTGGCATACCAAGTGTTTAGGCTGCTTAGCCATGCCACCTGTTTCCAAGAAGCCAGCATCATGCCTCAAAAAGCCTTCATGCAAGAAGACTGGTGTTAAAGTGAGGCCTGCAGCTTCTTTGGAGCAGGCACCTAAGAATGTTGCCAAGAAGCCTTCTATGGAGGAGGTAAAAGATGATGATGAGATTACACTTATCTTGGGTGAGCAAAGTGGGGCTGAGGATGGTGAACCCCCAATGGCTGTGCAGCCTCCCAGTCAGCTCCTGTCTGTGCAGCCTACAATGGATGGGGAGGGTGGGCCAGAGAATATTGATTCCCAGAGCCCTGTTACCAACCAGCTAGTTGACTCCCCACCCCTTGAGCTCCCAAGTAGCAGCTATTATCATGATGTGGCATCAGCTAGTAGTGTCTAGGCCTTGGTTTTACCATTATTTTTTTTGATATGTTTCCTTGGTATGCCATGGCTTAAGTTTTAGCTTGTACAGCATTTTGTTTATAAATATGTCTGTGCACATTGCACCCACCCCAGGTAGCTCCATGCTTTCTGCTTCAGCATCATCATCCTCATCCTGAATCCAACTACATGCAGGGAGACTGCGACATGATCATTTGATTGGCCATGGAAGTTTTGAAGCAATGTGAAAACTTGGCAGCCATGAGAAAAAAGCAAACAAGTTAAACAATAATGCCTGCCAGCTCTTCCTTGCACATGGGGTAATATGGACAGATGCATCCATGTTTCAGATGCGAAGCTTCATGCATGTTATATATCTATATATATATATGTGTGTGTGTGTTGTGAGGGTCACAACATGTCATACATGTGTGGTCATGGGGTGCCATGGGCATCCAAGTATCTCTTCAAGCTTTACAGCTGGACACATGCCATGCATGACATGCAGTGGTGATGCTTTGGGAGCTTCATGGGCATCCATTCAAGAATTCCATGATTCTGCCTAGGTCCATGTCCCACATGGCATGCAGCTCTGGTCATCTTATGAGACAGCTCCAGCCATTTCAGTCCTGAGTATAGATAGAGTATATAGCATTACTGTCTATAGCTATTGCTCCCCATGGCAGTGAGCTTGCACTCTGTGGACATGATCCATTTGCATACCACAGGGAAAAAGTGGATTATCCCTGAGAACCTTGTTGAAGAATGTGATGGTGACAAGTTTTTGCAAATCTCAGCTTCAGCTTATGGCCTATGCAACCTTCTCTCCAATGGGACTGTTGGCAGATTACCCAGCCTCAAAGGTTCTATTGGTTTGACCTCTTTGTTGTTGAAGAGAAAGGACATCATGGACAAACTCTTGCAAGGCAACCCTGAACCTGAAGAGAATGAATGTTTGACTAGAAAGAAAAGAAAGGTATCTCCATCCACTTTGGCATCTACCATGGATTTGGAGTTGGATGGCTATGGGGTGCTCACCATCAAAAGGCCAGCTTCTAACAGGGAAGACCTCAAGATCAAATACACCACCACCAATGTTTACATCTTTTGCAGCTACATGATTGGTGAGGGTGCTGAGTGTGTAGATCCTGAAAGAAGGGCTTACACAGCCAAAAGTGCTAAGGGTGACACAAGCAAATAGGCATGAACAAGTACCACAGCACTTGTGCCAAAAGATTTGCTGAGTGCTACCAGGACTTTGGCATGTTGAATGCTTGAGAGGCTGGCCACACTGCACTCCACAACCTGGTTGCTACCTCTAACTTTTGTGTGCTTTAAGGGGTTTGGAATGCCCAAGGTGCAAGCAACATGTCCATTGTCAAGCCTTGATGGCTTTCAAGAGTCTTTATGGGGTGCTACCATGACATGGTGGTTGGCAATGAAAGATTATATACATCAGGACCATGTCATGTTATCAAGCCTGTGGGCTCTATTTGTATACCATGGTAGTTGCATCCATACATGGGTTCATGGTGCATGTTATTCATTCATGGGTGGTTTCCCCCAAGAGCCATCAGCCCCTTGGCCCCATGCCATCCTGGTTTATCAACCTGCTGAAGCCTTCATGGGCATGTGTAGAACAATTTCATGGTGGATCATGTTATGGCATGTGGATGTATGTTCATTCATGCTGATCCATGCATAACTATACATGCTCAATAATGTTCATGGCATCCATCAAGCCAATGTGCTTTGGCCTATTGGCTCAGAAGGTGCATTTTTGGCAAGCAAGGTTGCTATCATGTTCATGCATGTGTAACTAGTGCTCATGCATGTGTAGTGCAAACCATGTGCAAAATATTTTTGCTTGGCAGCATTTGGCTGGTACCCAACACTGTTGTCATGCTTGCATGCGCCTTCATGTTATACATGTGCATTCATGAACTTTCAGGTTGCATTTTTTAGATTCTATTGGTACCTCTGATCACCACACTTGCAATGGCAGAATCAGCATTTGAGCGATCAGTGAGGCCCAGATTGCTTGATAAAGCATCTGCATCCGAAGATGATGTTTGTGGCCACCATTGCATAGTTTTGCAGGGCCAGGATTTTGAGCCTTACCCAGTTGATGAAATGCATTGCTTCATTGGCATCTATCACAAGATTCAGTTTTTGAATGGAAAGTCAATGTGGAAAAGCCAGGAACTGGGTGGCAAATCTCCTTGGTCCCCAAAGAACACTGGATATTTGTGGTGGTCGTGTGTTTACAAAATGTACTTCCTCAGTCGCAAGCCCTTGGTGGAAAGGGATCATGATTTTCAGTTCCAGAACTGGGCCTCTCTGGGAATTGTTGCATCATTTTCTGAGGACCTCCAGAAGGCATATCTCCCATGGGATGCGTATGAGGAATGCTGTTTGGTCAAGTGGCTAAGTTTTTTTGACTGGGCCCATGAAATCATGTTGTTTCAGGAAATCAATGAGCCAGAGGCAGATGAACATGCACCTGCAACTGCAACCAATGCAGAATTGCCAGTGCCAGCCAACATGGTCTCAGCAGGTAGCTATGGTTTGATTTGTAAGCCCCCACCTGCAGTGGCTCCAAATTGGCCAACTTTGAAGAAGAAAGGCTACTTCAGCAAGTTGGTTTCCTATATGGTCAGCGACGATATGAACTTACCAATGAAGAAGGCTGCGACCAAAGCATGTATCATGGAGAGTCCAGTTTTTAAAGCTGTGTATGAGGACCACAAACAGCAAATGGAGAGGTATGGGGAAGATCATAGATTTAACTATGTACCCTCAGCCTCCTCTGGGTCCAGGGCCCCAGCAGAGCCTGCAGGAGCTCCAAGTGGCATGCCCACTGAAATGGGTGTTTGAGGCATTCACTCATTGGCATGTGTTACATGGAGTTAAACAGTTCTTAATGTTAGATTTATGCATGTTTCCAGATTTGAGCTCAACTAATTTGTATTACATGTTGCCAATGGAAACAAGTTCAAGCCCAAGTGCTATTCATCACATGTGCAACATGTTGAGGGTGCATGGCCTCAGGATCCATGTCAGGATGACCCATCCATTTTCGAATAAGAGCAAGAGTTTCCTGTCCTGTGTGGCTGGGATATTGTGTAATGAATTGTAAATTAGTTGTTTGTTTCTGTTGTGGATTCCAAAATGACCTTTTGACACAGATTTGGATTCCAAATTGAAATGCTGGAAAAGCAACACCCCAATTTGGATTCCAAATTTAAATGCTATCAAACCAACACACCAATTTGGATTCCAAATTGAAATGCTGGAAAACCAACACCCAGATTTGGATTCCAAATTGAAATTCTGGAAAACCAACACCCCAATTTGGAATCCAAATTGAAATTCAATAAAACCAACACACCAATTTGGAATCCAAATTGGAATGTTTGTTTGCTTAATTACTAGTTCCAAACAAGAAGTAAAGATTTGTGATTCACAACAGCTATGTTCATATGTGATTTGTGGTTTTTGCTATTGCCACACAGCTTTTGAAACCCAATTTCAATGCATGGAAATGTGCAGATGAAGTCGCCCACACACCATCTGCCTGTACTATGAAAAAGGTTGGCATTGAGTGCCCAACGTGATTTGATAGTGAATGTTCACATGGAATGAAGCATGTGACAAGTATTTTCAAAGTAACATGAACTAAAATGTGCTGATATCATTGCATAATAGCTATTGGCATGTGCTTGACAGCAAAGAGTGAACAACACATGGAAGTTCTTGGGTGATATTGGATGCAGCTGCTAATTCTGCATGTTCATGCCATGCCATGTGACCTCAAACATGTTTTGTGGATTTGCCTCATGCATTTGCAATTATATAATTTGACCTTTTACATGCTCAGAGGACATACCTCATGTGCCTACACTTGGAGGTGTGGCATGCATGTCACATGATCTGCATTATGGCTTAAGCTGCATCAGCTG